CTCTGAAATTTCTCAGATTTAAGTTTAACAGAGAAGCATACTGATATTTTTTCAGCTGTATCACCCCTTTTCCCCTACGGGGATAACTTGAGCATTTCACCAGCAGAAAGGTGAGCAGAAATATAACTCACCTTGCAGCCCTCACAGGCGTGAACACCATAATGAAATCCTGAAGCAACATCTCCACAGACTTTGCAAAGAAGAACCATGCCATTAAATTCTAGAATCAGAACAGAAAAGTCAAAAATATAGAAAACCAATGACAACTGCAGGAACATGTTTCCAGCTTTTAAAACCTGGACTAAAAGCAAAATATGTTAGGTCAGTCCAACATACAAAAAAATACAGCAGAGGAACAGACAACAAGAATGCACAAAACCCCTGACCAATTCAGAAGGCACCAGCGCAAGGGAGGGGGGAAAAAAAGACAAACACGAAGCACTCAACAGAACAGGGAGAAAGCACGTATTCACTGGACTTCCAATCACAGTGGCATTGTACTCAAGTGTAGAAAAAGAAAGTCTGCTTACATTTATGCACTTTTAAAAGGACCATTTAGTCAACTAGGCCACCAAAGTTTGGGCTCAATCTCTTTTTCCATCAGGATAAGTAAGCCCATATAAAGGCTACAGTTTCCCCAACAGAGAATAAATACCTTTTCTTAAAAATAGAAATATTAAAAGACACTTTATGTATTATATGTTGTAAACAAGCCATACACTCTACTTATTTGATAACAGTTTAGGACTGGTAACTCAGCCACATCTACATATGTAAAGATTACTCATTTGAGTGCATATCCAGAATGGCATGCTTGCACACTTGAACATACCTTCTCAGCCCTGTAAATATGCTCACGGTTTGGGTTTTTAAGTTTTTCCCCACCTATTTTATTTCAGCTTGTCAATAAAGATTTTTTGCACGTCCTAAGTGATGGTCTAACATTGGTTTCACTGGAGCCAATAGGAATTTTACTAGTGACTTCAGTAACCACAAAGTTACCTTAACAGTGAGCAACAGAGACAGTTGGTAATACTCCCACAGAACCATATTCTACGAGAAAAGTAATTTATTTGACATTTGGGTTTTATTTGTAAAGAGGAACTAAAAGTTTTTTTTTTTTTAAGGTTTTGAAAAAGAACCAAACCACAAGATTTTTTTTTTTTTTTTTTTTTTTTTTTTTAAGGTTTTAAAAAAAAACCAAACCCCAAAATTTTTTTTTTTTTTTTTTTTTTAATAAACAGAGCTAGTATTGAGCTAAAATGTTATCTATCTATATACCTGAACAGTTTACAACAGGTTTCATCTTCAGGAACCTCTGCCCTGATACCAAAACCTAGTTGCTAGCAAATTTTTAAGAGGAAGTAAAGGTTCTTACTAAGAACTCAGGGTAGGAACACTTTAAAAAAAAAAAAATTTTTAAGGTAGAACTGTGTTAGATGCTTATTCTAGCTTCATAACAATTCAAAATGATAAAACAATTCTGCCAATAAAAGAATTCAGCCTTCAAAAGACTAAATTCCAGCTGAGTGTTTGTTGAAACACTCATTCCAGTACTCAGTTTGATACCTGCCCTTCCAAAACTGTTCAAATATAGTTCTTTATCGTTGATCTTCTCCGATTACTGAAAAAGCGTGAAGCAAATAGCTGGACCTAGACTGTTAAATGTATTTTAAAAGACTATCCTTTAGTTCCAGCTTCTGAGTACTTTGTTTTCTACATCCACAAATCAAGACTTGGAATCAAAAAGATAAAGGTCCCAGCTACAGCTATGTAAATATAATATAATGTTTTGATGATTTATTTATTTTGTTCCTCAAAGAAATTTAGGGGGAGGGAAGGTGAAGGGGCAAGGGACGGAGTATAAAAAAAAAAAAAAACCAAAACAGAGAAACTCGATTTGCAAGACAGCTCCATAAATACTCCTGAAGGCAGTTTCTGATTACTATTACCTTTACTTCATTGCATCTTTTTAACCAAGTATTTGATTTTTATTCAGATCAGATTTTCACTAGTGAAAACTGAAGTAAAGCTGGACTGTATTTATGAAATGTTTGAAGTTAGCAGCAACAGGACCTCCACTTATTAGCATTTGTATGGCAATACCATATCTATTACCATACATATAACGCAAAAAGATAAAAATGGAGGCCTTGCTGTGTGCCTTCATAGCGAGCCACATGGAGGATCTGGTTGTAATATATAAGGGGAAAATGGTGGTTTCAGGAACCGGCACCAAACATACTTGTGACTCCATTATGGCCTTTTGTCAAACCAGCAACACTCGACTGGTTTGTTTTAATAGTCTCCTCCAGCCGATCACTCTTCAGTGCCCCATCAGAGCCCTCGCTGCTCCGGCCGTTGCAGCCACTTTCCGAGGAGGAGCTGTTCGGAGAAGATGGTACAGGTGAAGAGGACGACTGGAAACCGCTGTCTGAGCTCTCGCTGTGACATGAGGCTGGGCTAGATGCCGAGCTTGAAGAGCTGATGTAAGCTATCACACCCCCTAAGGCAAGAGAAAAAGGCAGCACATAGTGACATAACAAGCAGACATGCACCGCTGCCATGTGAGCCAGGCTGTGACCCAGCACCACCAGACCCAGCCATCACGTGTTCCTGGGTGCACTCCTTTCCCTCCCTCCCTCCCTCCCTCCAGCTTCCTTCTCTCCATTCGTTTTCAACGGCTGACCTCCCCAGCCTGCCCCATCCCCTTCTCCCATCTTATCAGACCCCTCCGATCCAAGTCGAGATGAAATGGCAGAACCGAAAGACGGAGCAAGAAGCCATGGTGCCTGGCAGGACGGGGCAGCGGGGAGAGGGCACGGGGCAGCCCAGGGAGGGTTTCCCTGGCCACCCTCTGAGCAGAGCTCGTCTGGAGCCACAGCAAAGACAGGATCTTACAGCGCTGTAGAGCCAGAATGCAAACAAGCTAGGTTAGGGACAGAAATAGGGCAGAGAGAAAGACTTCATGCAGGCTACGCGCCAGAGGCACAGAAAGGAAGGGCTGGGAGGTGCTCACGATGCAGAAGGGAAGGGGGCAAGGGAAAGAAATAGCGCTGCGGCCTGGTTAGTCTGCTGAACGCCATTTGTCCGACTGCAAGCCTTTGTAGTGTTTCTAGCAGCAGCTGAATTCCGACTGCCAGGCTGCTATTTGCAAACAGTCTCTGTCCTGCCATGTCTTGCAATCTGACACACTTGAGAATCCCTCAGATGAAACAGCTTTTTGTCCTCAGGCAGACCTGGGAGCAGTTCTGGCTTTTCACAGGCTCCTTTTTCTTGCTTATAAGCAAGAGAAATTGTTTTCACTTCATTTGAGTTTGTCTCCAAGACTCAGCATTTCAAAAGTCGATATAAAAACATTTGATATTTCACACAAAAATTTCAACAGCAAAAGCCACACAACTGTTTTAAATAAATTACACTCAGCATCATCTCTGCTTTATGCCTGTATCGCTCTGCAAAGTCTCTTCACAGACAACTCGGGACATTGCAGCAAGGAACTCCACACACCAGTAAGAACTAAAAACTTTGAAACGGCCGTGCACTAACTTCCTTTGGAGGAAAAAAAAGCATTGGTGTCAGCAGAATCCTTGATCAACTGAGTTGGCATGGCAGGTCGGGGCTGTAGCCCCTCACATCAGCCATTGCCTCCTCACAGATAAAGGCTGTTACACCTATTAGGCAGCACTGTTATACAACCCTGGCAATACCACTGCTTGCAGGTAGAAATTCTGACTTACAAGTTTTCATTACTTTGATCAGCTGTAACAGTCCTCTTAGCATTTCTGTGGCAGTGTTACTGGTCCATTCCATCTTTAACATTTAATTTTTTCTACCAAGGAAACGGCCACCAACACCCCAAGGAGCGTGCAGCCGAGGAGCCCCTGGCAGAGCAGAAGTCAGACCAAGCGGCCGTGTGACACGTGCGCTACACGTGGACTGCTTCTCACGTTCCTGGACGCCGGTGCCCCCACGCCCCACCACAGCTTTCCTTCCCGCACAGATTTTTTTTTTTTAAGAAATCCTCCACGCAGCGTAGCACGCATCCAGGATCAGGTTTTTGGAGAAAGGAGGGTTGCAACAGATACACAGGTCCCGCAACGGCACGAGAGAAAGACACTGTCAAACACCCGTGCTAGTGTAAGACACCACCTATTTGACAAAGGTCCTGCTACCCCCTGGCACCACGTGCGCCTCTGCCAGGTCAAAGCTCACAGTCCACCTGGTCCAAGGGAGGCACCGAGTTTCTCAGCAGGCGCCATCCTTATCTGCAAGGGGCAGAGCAGGGCAGGCAAACACGGCTCCTGCAGGGAACCCCACGTTTCTCCACGCTGCCACCTCGCCCCGCTATCTTTAAACCCTGCCTCATAAAAAGAGATTATCTTTTCCCTCAAGGGTAACACCAGCGTCATAGGGGAGGATGGAAAGAGTACGTCCATGGGGGTTTTCACCCCTTGCCTTTTGAAAGCCTGGGGAGCCCAGATTAGCTGGGCTGCTCCCGTACCCTTAGAGAGCTTGGTAGCCTTAACTGTGTCACAAGATTCCTAGTATTTTTGTCATTTTGGACGTTACATTTCCCTATGAACCCTATTTTTGTTTGATCAGCAGTTAGAAGTTGAATCTCATACGCAGCACAGGGCGACAACTCAAAACGAAGAGCACAGACACAGCGACCTCTCACACCCCCCCGGAACCCCGCAGAAAGGGACCCCAACGCTTGGTGGGTAAGGCAGCCCTGGGCCTATAAACCGGTGGGGCTTTGCTTAGGGGAACCCCACGGAGGGTGGCAGAACAAGCCCTTTTGGCTACGCTGAGCCGCGCTGCGCTGCTGCGGAGGCACGTCAGGCAGGGTCACGAGGACCCCCGGCCCTTCGGGTCCTACCTGGCAGGGATTTACTTGGGGGGGGGGGGGGGGG